ACACAAGCACGAGAAAAAGAAAACATCAATCGAAAACAACAAAAAAACGTACGGGATCCTTCTGATCCTGAGTTCGGTTAATAACAACCCCGATTTCGGAGGGAAGAAACAATATGTTGAATGGGCAGGAGAGGGGGGCGAGAAAGTTAACTCTGACGATGACTTTTTCACAAATGACGTTGTCAAGGATTACTACAAGAACCACGTCAAGGTTTGTTTGAAAGCTAATTAAGGAAAATCAAGTACTTTTGAGTTATGTTCTTCTAGTGATTATACTGATTATTAATGACCCGTGTTTATATATCTATGATCAGACTGTTCTAACGAGGACCAACACGTTAACTGGAGTTGCAAACATGAACGATATTCCAACCATTTTCGCATGGGAGCTCATGAACGAACCAAGGTGCGAGAGCGATCTTTCTGGAAAAACATTACAGGTAACTATATTATCGTATACAAGCATATACATGCGTCAGACTAGTAGTACGTCGTTGTTTCTTTCTTCTTCTTTCTTCCCTGAACGGATTGATTAAGATGTGCAGGCATGGATCGAAGAGGTGGCTCGCTATGTGAGGTTAATAGATAGAAAGCATTTGGTGGAAATTGGAGATGAAGGTTTCTATGGAATATCCACATGCCAAGGGGGAAGAAGGCATTAATTGAATCCCTCTCAGTCTCTCTTTGGAACAGATTTTGTCCCTAGTAATCAGGTAAGTTCCAGGCATTGATTTTGCCACTGTCCATGCTTACCCAGACCTTTGGTTGGTTAGTAACGTTTCTAATTAATCCTATATATAATACTTGATCACTCTGCTTCCTTAACTAGCTTCTATATATTCTGCTTGCTAACTTAAACCATTGATTTATTGGAGGTTTTCGTGGGGGGGATGACACGGATCATCAGATTTACATGCAGAAATGGGCTCAGGCCCATATCCAAGAAACGGCTCCGCTTCTGAAGAAGCCCCTGGTGTTTGCTGAGTTCGGAAAATCTTTAAATGGTTCTGCTTTGGGCCAAAAGGGATGCGCTGTTTGAAGTGGCGTACGATGCCGTATTGTAACTCAGCGGAAGGAGTAGGTAGGCCCCTTATGTAGTGGGCTTTGCTGGAACCCATTGGGCCAAGAAATGGATAAATTGGAGAGACGGCTGCGAGGTTATTTTCGCTGAGGCACCGTCCACAGCAAATCTCATCTTGCAGCCATGTCGGAGGATTTCCAATCTTAATCACTGAAAAGAAACTGTTACATCAGTTATTACCTACATGGATAAAAGAAACTTCTAAGAAATATATATTATAATCAAAATAGAATTAGATACTCCAAGCTTAGGAAATTTCGTTTAATTAGGGGCCTACTTAATTGTAATTTATTTGAAATGCACATCCGATTGATAGAACTTACACGGTACATCACTTAATCCCCACGAAGAAGTGGAAATAAAATTGTAGCTTAGTTCATATATAACCCTAGCATCTTTATTTTTAAACAGGAGAACCGACGCCAAATTTTTGTGGAGGTCCCTCCTGCATCGGTCATTATATGGATTTTTTTTAAATGTTTAGAAATCATTAGTTAGATTTCTTAACGTTAACTTTGTCATCAATCTAGATTCTTTTTAAAAACTTCTGTTAAATTTTGATGATGTGTTAATGATGAGGAGGGTGTCTTGTTAGAAAAGAAGTAATTAGTAAACTTATAAGTTTGCATTGCCATGTCAATATAGAGCATTAATATAGCAGATGAATTTGGGCATCCAATCAACTAAGCAATCAACCTCGTCATCCGAGGACTTTGGATCTCAATAACTAATTTCGAAGCCCACCGTTTGACCATCTCTCCTTCAATCGTCAGTTGCCAATTGTCATTTACCTATTCCGCTGGCAACCGAAGATAGATTAGATTAATTAGCTACATACTTTATTATAACCTGAAAGCTACCTTTCCAATTCTGACTAACTTCCAATAATACTCTTTTTAAAAATCGGATTCGTGATGAATGCTGAGCGGTGACGATAACATACATGCATAAGGTAATAAGAACAGGAGACAAAGTCGTAGCAATAATTGTGGCTCTGATTAAATTAAACAATATCGTCAGCGAACAGGCATATATAAGATTCAGTTAATAATTATGCAAATACATAATTAAGCAGCTGATACATACTCATTCTGGCTTCTTCAAGGTTTCTCTTTTCCGTCTAATTAATATAGCTAGCTAGATACGTGATACAGAGTCGAGAGGAACCCCCTCAGATCAGAGCTGACCATGGCCAGCTCAATTAGATGAATCAATCCGATTCATCATCGATCAGATTCTTCAATAAATTATATTGATCAATTATTTTGCGTGCTTTCCGCCAAGTACTTGAAACCCATCCTCCCAACCCCCCCTAAAAAAAAAAAAAAAAAAAAAAAAAGCTTTGAATCTTATACACAACTTCCGCTAAATACCCATGAACTCAGGGTGTCTCACGAAATCTTTTTCTAAACTTTCACATTTTGTCCCCCTGAGAAAGTTTAAGGTTTTGATATTAAAAAAAAGAGACTAAAGTTCCTGATTATTTTGTGCAATTGGTGCCACGGTCATTGTACATTCGAAATGTACGTACGGTAGTAGTATTATGATCCAGTCTATGACTATCACTGTCATTGTAATCTCACACACCACGTTTGGACAAATGAAACAGATGTTCATGTGCTCATATATATATATATCTATCTACATTACTAAATTGTTATATGAGCAGTTAGTAGAGTATTTGATATATATATTGTTGTTGTTGTTGTGAATCATAAATACCTTTTTCTGTTAGTCATACTCAGATAGTAGTAGTTGCATCTTCTTAAACATTGATTTTTCAAAAGAAAAGATAACAAATTAAGAATAGGAGCACAAGGAAGCAAAGGAAAACAGTTTAAATTATATAATACATAGGAGATAAATATCAGAACGACCCACCCACCTTAACTTTGAACAATTATCAACAAAACCCCCTTAACTTCGAAAATGCCAGAAAACCCCGCTTTAAGTGTAAGGATTATCACAAAACCTTCTTTAACTTTCAGGTTTTGTTAGAAAATTCCTTTTAGCTTTGAGATTTTATCAAAACCACCCCTTAGTTTTAGTGGGGTTTTCTAACACTTTGAAAGTTAAGGGGGTTGGCTGATAATTGTCCAAATTTAAGGGGGGTTTTAAGGGGGTACACACCAATAAGAATGCCTCGAACGGAGACGCAATACACATAATAAAGGCACAATTAAAATCAATCACAGTACTCACAGATATACGTGGTTCACTCCTTCCGAACTACTCCACGAATAATAAAATATTTGTGGGACCCACATCCTTTATAAATTCTCAACAATGGTTACCGCCGAATTTGGGTTTTCTTCTTGTGGGACCCGCCTTTGTGGGCCCCACTTTTGTTTTGTTAGGCTGACAATTTAGCCTAGTACGTAAGTTCAGTTTTTTGTTCCTTGACAAATGCTTGTTGAGCATCTAATTTCTCAAGCTCGTTTGGAACAAGTCTATGCTTATCCCGTTAGTATGTCGACTGTAGGTGGGATGGAATAATTAATGAAAATTGAAAAGAAATAAAATACCAAATAATTAATTAATAATTACTATGAACGCGACCCTTTCAACTGGCTCAAACTTCGAATAAAAGCTAATTTAGTTAGGGAAATTATTGCACTCTTCCGCTCTATTATTGCGTTACAATAATAGTTACATATTTTTCAAACTAACTAAGTTGAGATGTGTCATCTGCGAATTTGAAAGCGGTGGTGGTCGATCGATATTTTGATTCTTTGCTAACGCATTGATACGCACTGATACCCGTATTTTATTCTGTGACAAGCCCTGTTACTTATCTATACATCTCTAGACGATAATAAGTAACGAGAAATATGTTGTGCGTGGCGCGGAAGCGGTCGAATCACACAATCCGAACTAGAGAGATCACAACCAAATAAACAAACACAATCACCAAATAATACAAGAGATTTACGTGGTTCGACAAGTTGCCTACGTCCACGGGACAAGGAGGGGGGAGTTCTTACTATAAGAAATCAAGAGAATACAAATAGAGTTACAAATCTCACCGATCAAACCCTAAAACAAAGCTCTAGATCTCTCACAACTCTCCCATAATTGGATGCAACAATCCTCTCTCAAAGACTGCTCAAATTCGTTCTTGAGTTACCCTAAACAATCAGGTTTTGAGTTATATATAACTCAGAAACGAAACGGGTCAAAATCCAAAAGGACCAGCCCAAACAGACTGCGGTCGACCTTCAATTCTCCACCTCGGCGAATGTTTCCACCAAAACTGAGCCGACACCAAATCATCCAATAGTCCCTCAACAAGTCAGGGAACCAAACTAGGGCTGAAACGCGATCTCCCCCCATCTGAATCAACTGATCAAACCGGCTGCATCTGAAAGACCGCCTACGTATCCTCTTGCCCAAGGAATCAAGCCGAACGTAGTTCACCCAAATGGCCTCCAAAAGCCTCACAATGGCCTCAAACTGAACTAATCCAAACATCTCCACCTGAGATGAACCAATGGCCATATCCAGACTACATCTATCAGCTGTACTCAAATCAATTAACCTATCATCTGCATCCAAATCAACATGATTCCCAATCTGTGTTACATCAGGTGGAATCCCAAATGATGCAGTATGATCTGGAGTTTCCACCCAACGTGGAGTAGCATCACTCTCCACCCGCTACGATATCCCAAAGATCTGATCACCACTCTCCACCTGTCGAGAGTCAAACATGATATACCTGCTCAGAACAAAGTTAGAAGCCAATACCTGATAATCAAACACGCCTCTGAATCCCAAATGTGCTATCGGATC